GTTTACTGATTTATTTATTCCTGAAATGAAGTAGCCCAGGAACTTTTTGAGTATTTAGACTCCTAAAGAAGCCACACTTACTGGGATTAAAAAAAATACTGATACTGTAAAGAGTGTGTGTATTTTATTAATCTCTCTCTGAAGTGTGTAACATTGGAGGAAGTTGGGGATTATGCCTGGTTCTATTATTGGAATAGTTAGTGCTACAGAGAAAATCAGCATCAGGACAAGGAGACTTGTCCAAAACCTACAGGGTACAGATGGCACAGGACAGTAGTGCAATCTGCAGTCAGAATGATGGCAACCAGGATCTGAGCTTTTGCAACATTTCTTCATGTTAGGAGCCTTTATTCCTAGTCTCATCTTGTTCACTGTCAAGGGGATTTTATTTTATTTTATTTATTTTTTTAATATTTCATGTAACTAGCAGTATCTCTTATGAAATTCCCCTAAAAGAATAACATGAAACATGGAAAAATCTATCCATTGAAATATTTAGATAAATACTGTAATAGTTAAAAGGGGACCATAATTTATAATATGAAATATTTGAGAAGTTATAGATTTTTGTTTTCAGAAGAAAAGATTTTCAAGGCAAGTTCAATTTATTGTGACCATAGACTGTGTTACACTCTGCTCAAATCAATTGTCTTTATAAGAAATGCCCACCCATCAGAAAGGCAAAATTCTCAGCTTCCTTGACTTGTAGAAGTCAGTGTAAGCTCTCAAAGTTCTCACAAAGTAAATATGGAGAGGGAAAGAATTATGAATATTTTAAAGTTTTTGCTTTATTACTTTTTATTTCATTGGGTGTTTTCCAAATGGCCAACACAGGAATATAAGTGTATTACAAATAAGTGTTCTGTTATTATCAATTTGGTGTCCACATTGTAGAAGTATTTAGTTAAACCTAAATATTCTGGCTGGCTTAGAGTGAAAATATCTTCAGGAGTTTTAGGTGTCTAAACTTCTTTTGAGGTTTTTCTTTGCTCTATTTCAATTCTTAAAGATGATATTAATTCTTATTGTACTCTTCTTTGTCAATATCTATACTAAGTAAATCTGTATGAATTTTTAAAAAGTAATTTTAAGTTTTAAATTATATATAAAATTAATTCTTTCTACATAGAGGGATACTCCCTCAGCTTAGACACATGGGGGAGAGCCTGGGCCCTTTTCCAAATGATATGACAGACTTTGAAGACTCCCCATGGAAGGCCTCACCCTCCCTGGGGAGCCAAAAAAGGGGATGGGATGGGGGTTGGTGGGGTAATAGGGAGGACTGGAGGGTGTGGGAACTGGGATTGTTATGTAAAAAAGCTTATTTCACATTTAAATAAAAGAAATTATAAAAATGAATATTTTAAAGGAACAAAATATTTACCTTTCATTTGTAATAGTCCAACTAGTCTAGTTATACTTGTCTTATAAATTGGTTAAAAATCTAGAGGTTGTAACATTATGTGGCCCAGGCCAGGCCTTAAGGTCAAGGCAGATCACTAAAATAGGAGGGACTTATTTTAGCATGCAGGTCACATGTGGCCAAATTTTACTATTTTAGAGGTACTAGTTGGTATTAAGAACAAATGAGATAAATACAAAATTAAATGCAAATATGTGTTCATAAAAATATATATAAAGAAAATCGAGATAATACCAAGCTACAGAAACCCACAGAGACAGCTGACCTGAACAAGGGGGAGCTAATGGACCCCCAACTGATAGCTGGGGAACCAGCATTGGACCAACTCAGACCCCCTGAATGTGGGTCTCAGTTAGAAGGCCTGGGCAGGCTAAGGGACCTCAGACAGTGGAACCAGGATGTATCCCTGGTGCACAAAAGGACTTTGGGAGCACATTCCCCATGAAGGGACACTCCCTTAGCCTAGAGGCAGGGGGGGGGGGGAGTGCCCAGTCCCTACTTCAAATGACTTGACAGATTTTGTTGATCCCTCCTGGAAGGCATCACCCTCTCTGTGGAGTGGGGGTGGGGTGGGATGGGAGGAGATGAGAGGGATGGAGGGAGGGACAGAGGAAGATGGAACTGGAATCAATATGTAAAATTAAAAAAAAAAGATTGATATAAAAATAAGAATGCAGTAATAGCTTAAGATATAATGCCACCACTCAAGATCGTAGAGTTGGATTTTTCTTTATGGTGGTAGCTCACAAGAATGACATGGTGACTTATTATTAAGTAAGAAAGTTTGGGTTATGGCTTGGCTTGTCACATTAACTCTAATAACTTAAATTAATCCATTTTTTATTAGCTATGTTTTGCCTCTTGGCTTTTTATGTCTCTTTCTTCTTGCACCTGCTATTTCCTCTACGTGACCTCTGGCCTCTTTCCCACACCTACATTCATCTTCTCTTCTTTCTCTGCTTGGGAGTCCAGCCTAACCTCTTCATGCCTAGCTATTGGATATTAATCTTTCTATTAAAACAGTCAGAAGGTACCTTGGCAAAGACACATCTTCACAGTGTACGAAAAAGATTATTTCACAAAAAAGGTCTCAAATTTAAAGCATGACTCTCTATCCTAATTGTCTTTCTTTATGATCATAATCATCATTATGTGAAAGATATCATTTATTAAAATAGTGTTAAAGTGTAGCTCTCTTACCCATATGCAAATATAGACAAAATCAAGTGGACTCAATACTGGGGGAGGGACCAAGTGGAGGGAGGGAGATGGATGGATGGATGAACAGACAGGCATAATAGAATAAAGTTGAGAGGGGATACTAGAGGTGGTGGTGATCCGAGAGTAAATGGAGAGGAGGGAATGAACAGTCATAAACTCTGAAATCTCTGTACTATAGGTGCATCCATTGTATCTAATAACCATCCTGTGGAAGAGGAGACTAATTTTGTAAATCTTCCTTAGCCAATTTTTAGGTACAAACCATACTTAAACAAAGTGTGTATATCTATATATGATTTGGTATTTACTTGAGCCAATCATGCAAAGTGCTGATAACTGGACATGGAGATCTGTGGTACTCTCTGGGTCCTTCAGTGAAGAGAAGTCTGTATGCATTGTGTCCATAATTCAAAACATCACTTTATCAAGCAGGTCAGTAACCAAGGGTGTCTCTCCTTTTGTGTGGTCCGATCTTATCACTTACATCATATCACTTGCTTTCAGCCTGTTCTACACTATGTTCTTCTCCTTACAACTGAAAGAGTCTTAGAGTATGTGAAATAAGAACTTTCTCAGTGACATTTCTGTTAGAACTAATTCTAAAGCCTAGTGGTAGCAATGCATGCATACCTTTAATCCAAGCAGTAGTTAGCAGAGGCAGGCAGATGTCTGTGAGTTCAAGGTCAGCCTAGTCTATAGAATAAGTTTCAGTACAGCTAGGACTATTACACAGAGGAGCCCTATCTCAAAAACCAAAATTAATAATAATTCTGAGAATTTGCAAATGAAATGTTAAAAAATAAATGTACTCTCAGCTTGAAAAAAAATGTACTTGCAAACTGGATTTTATGAAAATATCTTATTTGTCTTTCCATTCTAAAATGAGTTGTTTTAAAAGATTCCATTGAGATCATTTTTCTTAAAATGTGACTAGATATTGAATATGTCAGATTACTCATTAAGCTTAATATCAATTTACCAAATACATGATTTAGTGAATGGATTTTCAAGAACCAATGCTATTGCTGACATAATTTCTCTTCATATTTCATCTAGAAAAGTAACATGTTTGCACCTTTTGGCATAATATCAAATGTGATGATATACTTTTATACTATTATTTCTAAAGTCATATTTTAAAGTCACAGTTTTAATCTTATTACTAGAAACATAATATCTGGAGATAAATTGAGTGCTTTTCATTTGAATCATTACTTTTATGTAGCAGAATGTAAGATAACATATAACAAATAATATTTGAAAATCATAAAATGATTTCATGCTTAGTAAAGGAAAGATTCATATGTGTTAGTGCTTGTGGTTATGCAAACATTGGATTCTTAGAAAGTTTAATACAGTTGTTCATCTGTGTGAATACTTAATACCAAAATCTATAATCACTCAAGTATAAGCAGCATGCACAAAAGTTCCCTATGACTTTTAATAATAGTAATAAATGTTGCCAACTTCTTTCTTAAACGATGCATATCACTACCTTTGTACTATTAGTTTTTCAAGATAGCTGTTTGGATTACTTGAATTTTAGAGAAGTATCAGGGAAAGAGTCAGGGAAAAAATGAATTAGGGGAGTAACCCTGGAGGAGATTTGCTGAAAACAAACTTCCTTTAAGCAGATACATTCTAAGCTCCACTGAGCTGACAATATGCTTCCCAAAGAGTTGGTAAGTGAAAAAGTTTTGCGAGGTCAATTGAGTGAGTTGGTATAAACTTGGAAAAGTAGCGTCCCTCAAAAGGACAAACAAAACCTTGCAAAGAACAAATTTAGCTAAAAGAAAGAAAAAAGAGTTCAAAATGAACAATTGTAAGAACAAGAATTTTAAAAAGAATAAACTAAAAGACTCTAATTTAAAAGTCCAAGGAAATGGTGAGTATATTGTAAAATCAATTATAATCTAAAAATTCAGGGAAAAGGTGAATATTTTGTGAGAATAAACTATGCAAATATTTTATTTGTAATTATGTCATGTATTCATAATTGTTAGCTTCATGTCACTGAACAAATAATGCATAGCACATAGTGGAATTAAAAAGTATGCAAGATGTTGAAAAATTATATATATATATGTATATATATATATATGTATATATACACATATGTATTCATAAAAAACCATACATCATTATAGAACAGGCTTAAATTTCCTCCTTTGTCCAAGTGAACCTTGTGTTTACTATAATTGGTTCGTTGTTTATAAAGAATAGATATTTTGAGTTTAAGGTTATTTTAATTAAGAAAAATTTACTCAACAAACTAACTAGAACATACAATATTAAAATTAGTTTAATTTTAATTTAAAAGACAAAAAACCAACAAAAACCAAAACAAAACAGTTTGACAAAAAAAAAAAAATTATTTAAAAATGTTGTCATCCTTGCGCAGAGGCCATGCTAATCTTCTCTGTATTGTTCCAATTTTAGTATATGTGCTTCATGGGTCTCAGTTAGAAGGCCTGGCAGTCTAATGGACCTCTGACAGTGGAACCAGGATGTATCCCTGGTGCACAAAAGGACTGTGGGAGCACATTCCCCATGAAGGGATACTCCCTTAACATAGAGTCAGGAGGGAGGGCCTAGTCCCTACTCCAAATGACTTGACAGATTTTGTTGATCCCTCCTGGAAGGCATCACCCTCCCTGTGGAGTGGGGAGAGGGAATGGGATGGGAGGGTGGGTGAGGGGCATTGGAAGGAAGGAGAGAGGGAGAGGAAACTGGGATCCATATGTAAAATAAGAAAAAATAAATAAATAAAAAAATAAAAGAAAAATATATGAAACAGAACTGGTAAGAAAATTGGTAGTTTTTCACACTTGGTCCTAAGCTACAAGAGAGATGGGTTACTGAAATTGAAAGTATGGCTTGATTCTCACATTTCTTTTCTTTTTTAAATATTTGCTTATTTGGGAGGTGGTGGCTTGGACATTTGATCCCAGCACTCGGGAGGCTGATGCAGGCAGATCTTTGTGAATTTGAAACCAGTCTGATCTACAAAGTGAAAGAATTCCAGTATAGCTAGAGCTGTTATGTAGAGAAAACCTATCTCAAAAAAAAAAAAAAAAAAAAAAAAAAAAAAAAAAAAAAAGAAAAGAAAAGAAAAGAAAAAGAAAAAGAAAGAAAGAAAGAAAAGAAAGGAAGGAAGGGAGGAAAGAAAGATTTCCTTCATTTTTATGTGTTAAGTGTGTGTGTCTGGGGGTATTTACGGGGACTGTGTGTGTAGGCATCCATGGACATATGAAGAGGGCATCAGATGCTGTGGGATAGGAGTTACAGGTAATTGTGTGATACCACATTGGTGCTGAGAACCCATCTTAGAGATTCTGTAAGAGCAGCAAGTACTTTTAACCCCCTGAGCAGTTGGTCTCTCCAGCACTGTTCCACACTTAACTGACCTTAGCCTTACCTTGCTGTGATGAAATGAATTTCAAATCATGTCAGTTTTCATTCTTTAGATGAAATTTGATGATTTTTCTCAGCTGACACTTTGAAAGTCACAAGTGTGAAAAAGTCAGAGAAATGAGATTTTAAGGGAAAATATACTGTGCTGATTTAATTAGGCATCCTTACACTATAATAATCAAAATTCCATATTAGGAAGGACACTTCATTTTAAGGATTTCTGCTCTTGTAATCTTTTGTGATGATAGAGAAAAAGGGAAAGGCCAGTTAGTTATTGAAGATCTCTCATTTATTATTGTTTCTTAGTATAACATAAAATAAATATGCTTTGCTTGTGCTTATTTAAAATGAAATGTGAGAAAAAAGAGAAACTTTCATGTCTAGTTATAATTTTCCTGTTAATTATCACTGGGCTATTATGAAATTAAAATACATTCCACTTTTTTATATCCTAGGCAGGCAATATTCTGCAGTTTCATTCTTTGACATCTAATCCCAATTTTTAAGCAATCAAATCAATGAGCAATCCCCTTGAATAAACGGAGATATATGATAGATATTTAAAGCCTGAAGCTTGAGTTTTGTTCATGACCCCAACAGTCAGGAAAATATTCCTCAACAATTAAAATACTAGAGCTATGTTTTAGGAAATAGACGTGTTAGTTGAGATGGAGATAGAGACAGAGGAACAGAGAGAGAGAGAGAGAGAGAGAGAAAGAGAGAGAGAGAGAGAGATTTAAATGAGATTTAAAGGAATGGTTATAGGCAAATTCTGTTAGATTTATAAATATATTTGAAGGTGATAGGAAGGGTCTCAAATTTGCTTCATTCATGAAGATATTCTAGAGGCCTTATTGAAGTTTTAGTATGCCTTTCAGTTGTTTTTTGCATGTAGTACTGATTGATTTGGAAATTTCTTCAATTCTAATCAGAAATAGTGTACTAGCCTTTATTCACATTACATAGCTGTCATTGCTGTAAAACTTCTGTTGAAAGATTTGTGATGTTAGTATCTCTGTTTTTATTTTTCTCTCCAAGGAATCCCATATTTATCTTTAAGATTAGATGAGTAAGTGATGAATGAATGGTCACAAATATTAACTAGTATGATAATCTCAAAGCTTCTAACAAATTAAGGTTTATTAATTTATGCACAAAAAAGGATTTGTGATCGTTTGTGTATGTACAGTATATGTGTGCCTGTAGCCAGGTTAGAAGAACACATCAGTTCCCATGGAACTGGTTATGGAGGGTTGTGAGCCATGATTTTGTGTGTTGGAGACCAGGTACCATTCCACTGCTAGAATAACGAGTACGCTTAACTGCTGAGGCATCCATTTCTCCAGCTCCCTTCTTTGCATCTTACCTCATTTATTTTGATGTGTATTGCAGTATATCTATTTATGACTTTACAGTTTGAGTTTATCATATTGTATTATTTCTGTTCTTATAATGTTGAAATCATCATGACTTTGGTTTTTGTCCTTGCAGTAATCAGATAAGATTTTTCCTAAAAACTCACGAAACCTTTATCACCCTTAAATCCTGTAACTGTCTCTACCCCAACTAAGAGTCTAAGTAATATTGAAGATGCTACCTTAAAGGCCCTTTTGCTATAATGAGATTGATGGCTACCTTATATGTCATTCAAGAACTTTCATCCAGTAGCTGATGGAAGCAGAAGCAGAGATTCACAGCTAAACACTGAGCCAAATTCCTGGATTCCAGCTGCAGAGAGAGAGGAGTGGTGAGAAAAGGGGTCAAGACCAGGCTGGAGACATCCACACGGGGGAGCTCATGGATCCCAGTCTGATATCTGGAAAAATCAACATAGGACCAACCCAGACCCCCTGAACGTGGGTGTCAGGAGATCTGGTCAGTCCAAGGGGCGTCTGGTAGTGGATCAGTATTTATCTCTAGTGTACAAATGGACGTTGGGAGCCCATTCCACGTAGAGTGATACTTTCTCAGCCTAGACACATGGGGGAGCCTAGGCCCTGCTCCAAATGATATGACATACTTTGAAGATCCCCCATGGAAGTTGCTCTTCTCAACAAGAACCTTGTTAGACTGCTGTTCCCTGAGAATCTTTTGTATTTCGAAATCTTCCTAGTAGTAATTTTCTACTCACAAATTTCCAAGCCTATCTTGCTGCTCTCCAGACTGATCATGATGTTAAACAAGAACTGCTCTTTTTTTGCCAAACTTTGAGAAGTCCTATTAGTTTTATTTTATATATATATGTGTGTGTGTGTGTGTGTGTGTGTGTGTGTGTATACATATATGTATGTATGTATGTATGTGTATATCTATATCTATATATTCCTATATATATATACACATACATACTGGCCATTGTCTTTGTGTGTTTCTGTGTGCTTGAAATTTCCCAAGAGGCACTGGAATCAGATGGAACTAAAGTTAGGGATGGTTCTTAGCTGCCGTATAGGTTCTGAGAATTGAACTTGGTCATAAGTGAGAGGAGCTGTGCTCTTCTTAACCACCAAGTAATCTCTATGATCTGATTCCTTTAAACTCATTTGAGATAATTGAAAATGTATTCATTAATTTTCTCCTGTTTTGGTGAAATGCTTTTTGGAAAGCCCTTTGTATCCATTGCTAGGTGTTAAAGTTGGAACATATGAAATTATTGTCTTCTGATTTTTATATTTAATTTACAGTCTTCGCTGATGTTCACTTCCTGTGACCATCAATTTTGTTTTATGTGCTTTGTGTGAATTACTGACCCCTTCCTGACTTTCATGTGACTGTTTCCTTTCATTTTATTCCACCGGGATCATGACATAGAGATTTTTTTTTTCTGGTGAAGGAATCAACCAGAAATTTTGAGGAAATTAAGGTTTTTAAGTGTACTTGATTCTAACATTGTTCAGGTTACCATTGTTCTGATAACAACCCTGAAAATTCAGCATGTTAAATGACTAATATTCATCTATTTTGTTCCCAAATATATACGTTTGGTGTTTCCCAGGAGGGAAATCATATTTGTTTACTACTTATCACAGGCTGATGTAGTTTGTCTGTATTGAAAGTTGGGATGCACACAGCACTGCTAACATGAATCAGCTTGAGTCTCAGTGCCAATTTAGAGCCCAGCTGGGATACTCAGTTGGGAGCTTCAGTTTCTAGCTTCTCTCTGTGAGTCTCTCTAGGAAGCTCTGTAGATTTAGATGCCCAACACTGCACCCTTACATTAAAGACTGTATTTTGGTAGCACTCCTTTGATAGCTCCCCTTATATACCTGATTGGTTTTTGACCTTAATTGACATCCCAAAAATTCCACATATTTCAAAAACAACACTCACTAATGAGACAAACAGGGAACATTGTCTATCTTGGGTTGGGTTAGCTTCTTCAGAATGTTTGAGCAACATCGATTTCCATTAAGTTAATCCTACCAATCTATGAACATGGAGTTCACTATTCGCTATAGTATCCTCAATGCTTTTAATCCAGTTACTCAAACATTTTATTTTCAAATACTTCACTTCCTTGATTAGATTTATTAAAATACATTTTAAAGGCCATTTCAAAAGGGATTATTTTCTTGATTTTTTCCTTAGTACACTTGTCATTGGTATATTTGTTTTATAGGATTTCTACGTTTTTTTGTTTTTTTATCCAGCATGAATTCTGTATCCTTATTTTTTGATAGGTTTTTCAAATGTATATACTTTCTAGTGGAGTTTTTAGGGTTTTTATGTATAGAATCATATCATCTGTAAGTAAGGATACTTTGAATTTTTTTCTTTCCTATTTTTACCCAAAATGTCTCCTTCATTTTTCTTACTCCTCTAGCTAAATTGGACAGGAATACAAACAATGAATGATCTTCAGCAGATAGTGAAAGTACATTTTTCTTTTAGTGAAGATTCTTTGAATCTTTCATCATATGACATTATGTTGACTGCATGTTTGCTATGCATTGCTTTTGTTACATAAAGGTATGTGATCTATATCTTTAGATTCTTCAGAATTTTTGCATGATGGATTTTGATAAATAATTTTCCTGGGTCCAATGAGA